TGTGCCCATGCTGGTGCTACAGGCCTCTCCCGTGGACCTCCTAAGTTGTAGGCTGGAAAAATGTCTCCCCCTGACCTATTGGCTCTACACTCCAAAATTTAACTTGTGGCTTCATTTTAAAGTTGTTTGGAGGGGAATGTTGGAAAAGTTCAACTGGATCCCAACGTGTACTCCATCATCTTGAATTCCCCTTGTGTATTTTTAATCAGATAATTTAATTTAATGCCTAAAGGTCAATGGCATCCAAGGGCATAAAACATATCTAAGCCTCTTCACGATGGCTAACAATCCTTAATACTCACCTTGCTCTTTTTATTTCCCTGTTGTACTTTCACATAATGGAGCCTGTGTTGGAGAGGAGAGTCAGGAGGTGGGAAGAGGAATGTGGACTGTCTTCTCCCTTGGGCCAGCTCCGTTTGTCTCAGACTTAACTGAGCCACAAAGTTCCATTTCCTGTTTCCCACCTTTGTGCCTTTGCTCACTCTGTTACCCTCACCTGGAAAGCTCTTCCCTCTCCTAAATCATTCCACTCCTAGTCCCCTAATCTAACTCCTGGCCCAGCTCAAATATTGCCTCTTCCAGGCTTTATAGACTCCAATCCACAGGGTCCTAACCTTTCCATCCTCCACAATCAAACGTAGAAATCAATATAGTGTCATGGACAGAGCATTGGATTGGAAGTCAAGAGAACTGAACTGGAGTCTGGGTTCTGCCACTTAGCACCTTCATGACAAATTACACAGACAAATCACTTAGGCAAATCTAGGCAAATCGCTTAATTCAGTTTAGAAATAAATCCAGCATTCTATTAAACACAATTGCATTTTATCAGAGCCTCAATATCCTCATCAATAAATGAAAGGGTTAGATTAGATGACCTATTGTTTCTTCTGGCCAATTATCACATACCACTTTGTCTCATCGTCATTTTTGTACATGTCTCCTCTGTATTACTGTGGGTAAATCTCTTGAGTAATCTGCCAGAGTACTTAATGCCTTTAAACATAGTAGCGTCTCAGTAAATGTTGAATGAATGAAGTTGTCTGGTTGACACACATTATTTGTTCCTTAAGTCTTTCTGATTTTCCAACCTCCATTGAAATTCACTTGGGTTCAGGCTGTGCTGAACTAGAAAGAATACTGAACTTGGGCTAAGAAGACCTAGGTTTGAGTCCTAGCCATTCAACCCTTCTTAGCCTCAGTTTCCTTATCTGTAAAATGGAAATGATAATACCTGGTATGACTTCCTTTGCAGGGTTGCTGCGAGCTGTCAGTGAAATAATGTATTTTGCAAAGCATTTCATAAAGCATACAGGGCTACATAAATGCCAGTTTTTCCATTTATCATGGCATGAGACCCAGAATGAAATGGTCACTGGAGATGGGTAAGCAGTGGATTATTTCCAGATTTTCTTTTTAGTTTGAGAATAAGTGACTCAATAAACATTTATGGACCGATTAACTGACCAAAAGTGGCAGGCCTAAGAATTATGAAACATGGTCAGCTGTAAGAACATTGGAGATTGGGGACTTATTTGGGTAGGGTTGAAAAGTGTATTCCCATCATTTAGTACAGTATCTAGGACATAATAAGTGTATAACAATTGTTTGTTGACTGACATAAAGGATTCATTAAATTGACAATAGTTAATAAAAGTAATATAAACCAAAATGTCTTCAGCATACATTTTAGGAAAGTAGAGGAAAGGCACCCCCTTATCATAGGCATCAAAATAAGTCCATTAAGTTCAATTCTACAAACATTTATTGGTGTTTGGTACTGTAGATCACTAAAATACAAAATGATACAATGCCTGCTCTCAGGGAGCTTACATTTTTCATGATGGGGTGGGCATGGGATAGGCGGTGAGAGGAAAGGACAATATAGACACAGGTAAGTATAAAACATTGTAGGTTGAGATTGTGATGAGAGCCAAGGATTGATTCAAAAAGTGATCTAAGAAAACTTGACACTTCCAGATGTCCAGATTAGGCTACAAAGAGGAGGTGGCCCTTGCGTTGGGCCTTGGAAGAGAACATTGGTAGAGTAGACTAGGTGATAGAAGGATGGACTTTGAGTCAAGAAGGCCTGGGTTCAAATCTGGCCTCAGACACTTACTAGCTGTATGACTCTGGGCAAGTCACTTGATCTCTCAGTTTTTATCTGTAAAATGGGGATAAAAATAGCAGCTCCTCCCAGCATAGTTGTGAGGACCTGCGATAAAGGATGCATGTCTTAACTCCCTATATAAAAACGTGAGCTACTATTATTTTTAAGGGGAAAAAATTCTGACTAGCAAAAGTGAGGAGTACTGTACTCCAAGTGTAGGGGATGGGCAGAGCAGATGCATGGGGATGTGAGATGATAAGTTGAGTTTGAGGAACAGCTAGTTATCCAGTTTGTCTGGAATGTAGAACGTGTGAAGACAATAAGTGTGAAGAAGGGCTGGAAAGGGAGACTGGAGCCAGGTTATAGCTGGCCAATTACCCTCAAATGTTCTTCCTGTATTTGATGTGCTGAGTATGATGTAAAATGCACAAGCTAAAATGGAATCTTGGTAGAAAAATCAGATAAATACCTTACAATCACTCACCCAATTCTAGGTAGCTAGGGGCGCAGCGGATAGAGGGCTGGGCCTAGGGTCAGAAAGACTCATCTTCCTGAGTTCAAATCTTGCCTCAGACACTTACTAATTGTGTGACCCTGAGTAAATCACTTAATCCTGTTTGCCTCAGTTTCCTCATCTGCGAAATGAGCTGGAGAAGGAAATGGCAAACTGCTCCAGTATCTTTGCCAAGAAAACCCCAGATGGGGTCACAGAGTTGGACAAGACTGAAAAACGGCCGAACAACGTTTTAGGCACCATCTTTTGGAAGCTTGCCTATGGCCTTATTGTAAATTTGGCCATCAGTGTGAGTCCTGGAGTCTTGGCCCAAGTTCAGGCTGTATGGTTAGCAATGAAAAGGTGTTATTCCATGTTGTCCTTGTTAATGGGGTGTTAGAATTACAGTTTGACCAGCTTACTTTCAGTTGGACAACGTTACCTTTGGCACAGGGTCCCAAGCAGGGAGCTCAATCGGCATCTGATTACTTCCTAGAATACATTTACCTGTATGCACTAAGGCTGGGTAGAGAAAATACCCTAGGGCCCAGGTCTCAGCAAGGGCTTCAAAGAGAAATTGTTTTTGTTATTGTAGTAGCTGGACCCCTTTGGATAGGGTCAAGGGAGGACTTTCCTGACATCAGATCTTGTTCTATAATATTAAGGTATACTATGGCATATGTATATGGCATATAAACACTGAAGAATTATTGTTTATAAGCACATTCCCAAAGTAGGACTGCATTTGGTCAATTTCCTGAAATAGTTTTCTCTCTGAGCAGTCATTGGTAAATAGCATTGTTATTGTTTTGTGGCTAACTTCCCAACCAAACCAATCCAAGGGGATTTTTCATCCAAAATACTCTGTTTCCTCCATCCTTCTGAGCCTGACGGTGTTCAGCCCATGATCTCAATATACTCCAGGGAAATCTTCCTGCCTGCAAGGACGATTCTACCACCATGATGTCAAATGGCCTTATTACATATAAGATAAAGACCTAAAGTAGTCAAAGGAGGTGGGTTCAAATCCTCCTTCTGATAATCGTGACCTTGAGAGAGTCATTTAAGTTCCCTGGGCATCAGTTTCCTCAAGTGTAAAATAAGGAGGTTGGATCAGCTGGTTTCTGAGGTCCCTTCCAGGTCTGGATTTATTATCCTAAGTCTGGCATTCAAAGCTCTCCACAGCCTGCCTTTCCTCTTCCTAATTTCCTATGGTTATCCTCTGTTCTAGCTAGGCTGGTTTATTAATTATTCTCCAAACATTGAGCAAGTTCTCTTTCCTTTACTCATGTAGATCCTCCTCTCTGGAGTGCTTCCCCACCTTATATCCAAATCCTGCCCATCTTTGATTAGAGTCCAACTCAAAATCTTCCTTCTCAATGGGAGCTTTCCTGATCAGCCATTAGTCACATCTCACTCCATTGGACTGCTAGAACTCCATCCTTAGTCCTAGGTGTTTATGCAGTGCATTCTTACTTGGATGAAACGCTTCTCAAGAGTAGGACTGTGTTTATTTTCTTGGTATTCCCACAACACACAGGACACTATGTAGTTGGCACTCAGTCTATTTTTTTTAATGACTTTATGACTAAAAGACCAGAAACAGCCACAGTCACATCTTCCATCTCCAAATCACCCCTCGAATTGCCCTTGGTGCCTTTTGCAGACCAACATTTCCCTTTGAAGACCCTGAGTTCCATTCTTACTTTCTCAATACATGGAAGTTTCTCCTTGTAGAGTGTCTTTTCACATGATCCAGTAACCTTGTGGGTGGAAGAACCCAGCTCTTTTTGTAGCATTGCCTAAATTCCCCCCTACTCCTATCCCTGGTAAAGGCATCCCTGATGCCTTTGGGACTTATTTCCTGGAGACTCCATCATATTCCTCTTTTTTCCTCTCATGATTTCTTATTAAAAGTAAATTCTGGATTTTCAGTTGAATAAGGACACATCTCAGCAGTGCTGGAAAAGAGCCTGGATCAGAATGGAAAGATTTTTGTAGTTAATAAACAAAGACCCATTGGCTTTGAGGGGCTATGGTACAAACAGTGTTTTTCTCTAACAAATGCAAAAATAGTTTTCCACCTTCATATTTTAGCCAGTGTGAAAAACAACAACAACCCAACATGTGTTACTCTCTGAGCCCTGAATTAATCTAGAAGATGCTCAGGAATTGTCCTTTCTATCTTTCTTGTCTTTCTTTTCTTTTCCTAGAATGAGTTTTTCTACTCCACTACATTTAGTCAAAATTCTTTATGGGAGATATCTCTGCCCAGCTGAAAGCTGGTGTACTGATGTTTAATGTTTGGTGACCACCATGACCCATAAGCACTAGTAATTGCCCTTCTTTTTTCCAGTTCCACTTGAAGTTTTCCTTTGTCTCGTTCCTCTATTTTAGGACGACGGTGTGCAGCAAGATGAATGGGGAGCAGCAGAGTATGAAAGCTGTGGACGTGAAAATTGAAAGTGAGCTGATTCCCGGAAACAAATATGATGCCCTTTGTGTCAAGGATGAAGGTTAGTGCTGAAGCTGCTGAAAAGACATAAAGGCAGGATACAAGTCAGCTCATGGGGCTTAGCCAAAGCCAGGAACTCACCAGCAGTATCCCCCAACCCTTTAAAGATAGCAGCGCATTTTAAAGAAAAACTTTTCTGGGGGTAGGAATTTTACCAGACTTGTTGAACACAGCATCGCAAGAGGGAGGGCTTACCTTTTAGCAAAAAAATTAATTGCTGGCAGAGTCATAACTAGGCATTTTTTGTGTCTAGGGAAGATATTTTTGCAGTATCAAAGGGAAGGGAGACAGAAACATGGGGACACGATCATGAGGTGGAGAGAAAGGACTGAGTCCTGCCACTCATCCAATAACTTCCAGCCCAATCCAATGCAACTAACATTTATTAAGTGCCGATAGTGTGCACAGCACTGTACAAAGTGCTGTGGGTTCAAACATGGAAATGAAACAGCTCTTGTCCTCAAGAGGCTTACATTCTCCTGGAGGGACAGTTGCATGTTTTTGGTTTTGTTTTTTTTTCCAGCTTCCAAGTCTAGTGGGTGTAATCCAAGGCTGGGGTTTGGCAGGGAAAGATGGGCATCGGGATAAAAGAACGAGAAATTCTAGAGAAGACAATGTAGAGTTGACCTGGTTCACCAAGAGGTCAAGATGAGGAAGGGAAGAGAGCCAGTACTTGGGTGATGGCCTGTAAAACAACTGCAGCATGGAAGGACTGGAGGTCACAGAGAAGATGAAGAACAGGTTTCGGCATTGTAAGGCAGAGGGAAAAATGATGAAGTAAAGGGATTTCAGGATTCATGAACATGGATGTGGACCAGTTGTGGGTGATGGCAAGATCAAAGGTATGATTATGTCTGTGTGTAGTCTAGGGATGGAGAGGAGGTCAAATGAAATGAGCAATTTGAGGAATTAGAAAGTTGAGCGTAGTCCCATAGAATGAAGGCAAGAGTTGGGTACAAGAGAAAGATGGTGAGCCAGCCTCTAAAATCATTGAGGAAAGAAGGGGAAGTGTGTGTCCTGGAGGACAGTAGAGAACAGTGTCAGCATCTCGATTGGGTGGTAGATATGGATTGAATGAACCTCCAAGGAAGAGTGAAGACTGGGTGCTGATGGTAGAGAGAGACCATGGAAGCGGCCATGGGTAGCAAGGAGTAGTTTTGGTCCCCACCCCAGGAGTTGGGGAGCAGGAAAGAAACCGTATGCCACGCTGGAATGGGTGACCAGGGAAGCTGTGTTACCAGGAGGGATCAAGGTCTCAGTGAGCGCCAGAAGATGGAAGGAGGTAGAAAGGAGAAGGTTTTTGAGGAAATCAAGTTTCTTACCTATGAAGCTAGCTTTCCAGAGAGTATGAAGGCTAAGGAAAGGCCAGAGGATTTAGCAATGAGGTTCTACTTGGTCACTGTGGAGTGAGTCGTTTCAGGTTGAGTGGTAGGGTCACAGAGGGGTTGAAAGAGGAGACAAAGTGGAGGCAGAGTGTGGACAACTTTTTCTGGGAGTTTGGCCATGAAAGAGAGGATAGATAAAGAATGACAGCTTCTTATTTTAATTAATTATTGTTGCTAACAAGGCCATGCTGAATGGGAACAATATGAAGAGTAGGTCTGACTCTTTCCTCCACTTTCCCCCTTCCCCTCATTCCCTCCTTCCTACACACACACACACACAAACACACACATACACACGTATACACACACACGTTTCATGCTGATATTGGGTGAGGCTCACCTGAGCTCAAGAGGTGGCTATGGGCCAGGGAGTGGATACAGTGCTTGACTTGGAGTCAGGAAGACCCAGGTTCAAATCCTGCCTCAGACACTTACTAACCATGTGACTGACAAGTCATTTAGTCTCCTTCTGACTCAGTTTCCGTATCTAATAACCAGAACACCTACATCACAGTGTTCTTGTGAAGATCAAATGAGATAATACACGTAAAATACTTTGTAAATCTTAAAGCATTAAATACTGGCAAGTATTATATCTGGTAGTTAGAGGAGAAGCAGGCTTGACTGAGCAGATAGTTTCCATGGACTTAGCCCCACTGTGTATAGAGAAGAAATGCCAAAAGGTGGAGGTGAGAGATTATGGTGATATTGAGGGGCCGCCCCTTCCCCTGCCCCTTGGGAATCAGATGTTGGAGTGCCCTGCTCCCTGGGTCCTGTTTACCACTGGTGAATGAGTAAGAAGTCTCAACTCCTAAAGCCCATTCCACAGTAGGAGTGGCACCCCACCACTGCAACACGTCCCCCCACAATTGATATTTAAAGGTTGGGCCCACTCATCATTGCCACTCTGGCCTCCCTTCACAGTCTCAGCTGAGGTGAGAGGCATTCAAGGTAGGGGAGCCATGGCGACCAGCTCTGGTCACACCAGCTAGATTTGCAGTGTCCAATGAGGAATGTTCACCTGAGGAATCTAGAATCCTGGAGATCTGCCCCAATCCTTTCAGAGACCTGTAGCTACTTCCTTTTCATTAGACATGTTAATTTAGAGCCATCTAGATTGGGTTCTGCCTGGGGCCCACTGGTGATGGTCCTGGTTGTCCGACACCCAAAATCAGCTGTCAGAGGAGATCACGAGAGAGGCAATGGGGCATAGTGTAGAGAGAGTCGGGGAAACCTGACTTTTAACACATACTGGCTGGGTGGCTGTGAACAATTCACTTTACCCCCTGCTCCCCTGGTAGAGCTAGCTGAGCAAGCCTAGATCTATATCAGTAGAGAGAGTGCCACCAGGCACTCCCTAAAAAGACTCAATGAAATCACTGGGAGAGAACGAAAGAGATGGGAGGAGAAAGAAAGGAAGTGAAGGGAAAGGGAAGGGGAGAGGGGAAGGGAGGGGAGGGAGGGGAGCTGGGAGGGGAGGGAGTGGGAGAAAGGAAGGAAGGAAGGAAGGAAAGAAGGGAGGAAGGAGGGATCACGAAGTAGACCTAATTTACAGACCTTAGGTCAGATTTCATTATCAACACAGACTACCTCTAATTTCACTGAAATGAAAATACTTATCCAGTGGAAAGGAAACCAGTTATGGGCTCCCCGGTAGAGGAACCCAACAGAGGTTCAGTTCTCCTTTCACCCTGTAATGAAAGACCCTGACCAAGTTCATTGGCCCCCTCTTGGTCAAGGATTCTATGACCATAACTGTCATTAGGAAGGTCATGGGGGAAGGACATGGGATAGCTGCAAAGAAGGGAGGAAATGTGACACAATGGAAAGAATGGTAGCTCTGGAATCAGAGAACTTGGGTTCAAATCCTATCTCTTCCCTTTGCTACTTATTGACCTTAGACAAGTCACTTCTTTCTAGGCCTCAGTTTCTTCAGCTTTAAAATGGGTTGAATGACATGATGTCTATCTATCATCATCCTTAAGATGACTGATCTGTCATCTCATGTGAAAGCAGCTGAATACTATATTCTTGCCTTGCCCTGGTGAAAGGTACAAAATAAACATTGACATGACATAATAGGAACTACCATACCCGGTCTAGAGAGTATTGATGGGTACTTCCTGGTCCTGGGATCAGGAATATTTCACATTTTGATCATCTGTGCAAGTGGCGCCATATTTAGAAGAATAACTATGCTCTTTTGAGGATAAGATAGGCAATTTAAAAAGAATTAAAAAACCTTTGTCAAGTTGATAAAGTGATACACTGGATAAAAATCACAACAATAGGTAGCATTTATATAGACCTTTCAGTTTTGCAAAGCACTTTGCAAATATGATCCCATTTGATTCTTACAACAACCCTGGGGAGGTAGGTGCAATTATTACACCCATTTTGCAGATGAGGGAAACAGAGGCACAGCATGTTTTTTTTTTTAAATGACTTGCCCAGGGTTACCCAGCTCGTCAGTATCTGAGGCAGAATTCAAACTCAGGTCTCCCCACCTCCAATTTCAGCAGTCTATCCACCATGCTACCAGCATTAAATTGAAGTTGGGAAGATCTGGTTTCAGATCCAGTCTCTGGGACTTACTAGATGTCTGACCAAGGGCAAATCACCTAACCTCTTAGATCCTCAGTTTCCTTATCTGTAAAATGGGAAGAAATAATTGAGGCTCTTTTTGTATGTAAAGCTAATCATTATGGCCTTTTTGCATAATGGACAGAATCTAATAAGCAGTATTTAAAATCTGAGCCCTCCTTCACCAACAAAGGTGTTCATGTGATAATTCAGAAGAAATAGACAGTTGCTTTCAACAATAAAAAATTAAGTTAAACTTTGTATGTGAATCAAGAACACTGAAGTTAGTCTGTATGTGTTCTAAAGCCAGATAACCAAGAATACAATGATTAGCACACTTGGCAAACTTTAAAATGCGACATCAATGTCAATTATAACAATATTTGGAGATAGAAGACCTGGGCTCCAATTCTGGTTGTACTGTTATTTACTACATTGTGATCATTAGGTCACCACACCTCTCTGGGCCTCAGTTTCCCTATCTGTAAAATGAATGGCTTGGACTAGGTGCCCTCTGAGGTACACTTCTGTTCTGGATCTATAATCTGTGGTCCCATGAGCTATAAAATGAGGCAGTTGCATTATTGTCACACCCATTTTACAGATAAAGAAACTGAAGCTCTGAAGTGACTCACTCTTGGTCAACAGCTAAGTCATGGGCGAGAGTGAGGAATCAAGCCCAGCATTTGGTTTTGACCCCAGAATGAGCCAGGTTCTTTCCATGACACAACCAACAGGAAGAGAAATAACGATGGCTCTATCTGTTGAGCCTGTAGCCTAGCAACGGCCTGTATCCTATTCAGCCATCAATCAGCCCAGTTCAGAGGCGCTCAGTGAGTATCTGAAGGTCACTCGGGCAGCTCCTCATGCAGGCTCAGCCTCCAAACCTGGCTCCTCACTCACGCCAATATCCCATCTCAGGCATCCCTGTCACAGATAATAGACAAGCTTATCATTTGGCCAAAGTACCCTGATTGATACAGGTTCATACCCTGACAGCAGGGCTGAAGCAAATTAAATCTGTAATGGAAAT